CATTTCCATAAATGTTGATTTGCAGTCATGAAACTGCAGATTTATAAATGGGCCAATTATCTTTCTAAGATGCAATAAAGTAAATAGATAACTTTTAAAATATGGAAGTGTTCGCCCATGTGCCGTCTAAAATTATCTCACCTACTTCAGGGACCCCACGTACCATTGCTGGGAAAACACTGATGTCCAGAACATTCTTTCGTGCTTTTCTTCTTTCTCCCTCTGCCATTCTTTGCTTTAACAAAGATTCTTACACATGAGAGGAGAACAGGCTTTTAGTTATTAGGGAGAGAAGTGCTCTTCCTTTCGAAGAACTCACCCTACCCTCCATGCACATTCTCGTAGAATACTGGCATTTCTGAATTCGCTAGCAACTCATTCAAGGTGGACTGTACCTTGATCAAGCCAGTTTTCGCCACTTATTTGTAAACATCTTAAGAGGACTGTGGAGGGTGCCGTCTGAAGATAAGGACGCGCCTGCGTGTCACGGCTCAGGGCAATGACAGAACTTCATGAGTGCAGGCTGTGTTCCTGGGCCCGGTGGCACATGGTTGGCCGTGGCCCAGCCTCACCGGGCCTCGTGGAGGCTTGCTGAGATTGGAATAGGAAGAGAGCTGAAAGGACTCTAGAGAAATAGCTCATCCTCTTTCTTACAAATGGGGCCCCTGAGACACAGAGGGCCAAATGGCATATCAGGGGTCACGTCATTTGTTGGTGACATCGTTTGAACCTTGGTAAGGAAGCTCTCATGCTAGGAACCTCAGAACCGTGGCACTAAAAATGGCTGCTTTCCAACAAAAGGGGAGCAGGCCCCAAGCCGCCACTTCAGCCAAGATCTGAGGTCACTGGTGCGGTAACTCTTAGGAACGTCTGAACTGTGTCACATTAACCTGGACAGACCACTCATGACCTGGGGTCCCCTTCGCTATTAAAAGCATTCCTGGCCGTGACACAAGAGCACAGTATTGACGATAGGACCCTCAGGTGCCCCGGTGCCCTATCGTCCCACTTAGAGAACTTCTCTTCTAGAACCTAAGTTCAGAGTCGTCTCCGGGTGCTGCCTTCACAGATGTAATGAGCTTCCTTGAAATGTCCCCATGATTTCACAACCAGCGGAGCCCGGGCTAAATGCCAAGTGGAAATTCTGAAGCTCTGAGTCCCGATCCTGGGTTTTCCCCCCTGAGTTCAGGCTGAAAAGTTTTAATAAAACCCTAATGACTAATCACGTATCTCGCATCTCCATTGCCTTAAATGTGACTAGCAAATGTCAAAGCTACCAACTAATAATTCAGAAACCATTTATAGTCGACCCTTGAACACCACAGGTTTGAACTGTGCAGGTCCGCTTTTACGTAGCTTTTTTCCCCCAATAAATACTACATGTGTATTTTTTCTTCCGTATGATTTTTTAATGACATTTTCTTTTCTTTAGCTTATTTTATTATAAGGAAACAGTATATAATACATGAAACATACAAACTATGCGGTTAATTGAATACTTGTGTTAATGGTTAGGTCTCCCATCAACAGTAGGCTGTTAGTAGTTAAGTTTTAGGGGAGTCTAAGTTATATGTGATTTTCAACTGTGGGAGTTGGAGTTGGCACCCCTTACCCCACGTTGCGCAGGGGTCAGCGGTACTGACTCCTTCCTGTGTCTGGTGGGCTTTGGGACACAAAGATGAATCAGGGAGGAGGTATCTGTCCTGGAGGAACTCACAGACCAGTGGAGTATCAAACCAACCCATAGCAGAAGCGTGACATGACAAACTCAGGAGTCACCTCCTCCGTGAAGGGTTCCCCACAATCCAGGAAGACGTAGTGGGTCCCAGTCCTTGGGTCTCTGCAGCCCATGCAGCCCTTTACGCGGTGGTTTCTGTGCTCGGTTCTGGGGTCTGTTGCCCCTTTGGACAGTGAGTTCATATAGGGCAGCAGCTGTATTTTATGCAACTCTATTTCCAGTGCCTGATACAGGTAGGTGGCCCTCCAAAATTCTCATTGGGGGAGGTATGAACAGTATCCTAGGAAAACATAGAGTAGGGAACAATTCCATCTGATGGAAACCAGACAGTTCATTCAGCTTGAGGGTCTCAAGACAGCATGACGAAGAAGAAGGCACTGAGCTTTAGGATCCGAAAGGCAAGTAGGAGTTTCTGGGAGCTGTTCCGGCAGGGCTGAGAAGCAACTGTGTGAGTGTCCGTCCTGTCTGCATTGTATGAGCCCTTGTCTTCTGTGTGGCACTTTCCTGAAGGAGACAAATGTCTTCAGTTAGTCTGCACATTTCACTTAGACCAGGTGTCTGTTGAACTCTGGGCCAGCCGTTAGCTAGTTAGTTGCTGGTTAATTTCCAGCTATGTATGTTAATGTTAAAAATCCACAGAAATGCTACATAGGGGCATTTCTCGGCAAAACCATTTCAAATAAGCTTTATAAGGGTTCCAAGGAATGTGTGGGAGCAGAGCGGCCCCAGTGATTCACGCCCATATGGTCCATGGGGAATGCATAAGACTTCTTTAGGAAGAGGCGTGTGCCTCTCAATGTGACGTGTAGTTCCTGTAAAGACTTTGTTGCAACATGTCTCCAAAGCCCCTTTTTCCTTACCACCTATTTTCTCACAAATGATAAAGGTATGCATTCATAATGACATTGACTGTCATCTGACCCTCCCTGCTAGAAGGTAAACTGCAGGAAGGCAGGGATCTTCGTTTGTCACTGCTGTATTCTAAGGGCCTAGAACAGTGTCTGGCACATGCTAGATGCTCATTGAAAGAAGGACTGGTTGCTATGAATGAATACATTGAATGAATGAGCGAGTGACCAAATGAATGCTCTGAGAGCCCAGGGAAAGGGAAAGTTGTCCTGAGAGAAATGGAACTCGGCATTGGAGGTCATTAGGATTCCCTCCAGACAGCTGGCCTCTGTGGTCTGGGCTGCCTCCTTTCCAGCCTCACCTCGGGTGTCATAACCATACCTAAGCATTAGGAAAGGTGGTACCTGAAAAGCACTCCAGTCATTTAAGTGGTTGTTGTTTAAATGTTCTGTTCATCAAAGGAGGTAGCGGCGATGCAACCCCAAAGGAACACCGCGTCAGGAGCCCTGGGTTCAAACCCCAGACATGTTCATTTCTAGCCGCGTGATTTAGCGTCTGCCGATAGCCCTCCCTGAGCCTCAACGCCCTCCCTCAGAAAGTTGGGCAGTGCTCCCCTTTTCGCGGCGCCCCTAGCACTCTGCTTCCTGACACCCAGGAGGCCCTCTGGAAGCAGCGTCAGGCCTGGAGAGCCTTGGAAAGGCTGGCAGTGTGGGTGGGTTCCATGAGCCTATTTTCGAGCCAGTCTCCAGCTCTCCCCAGAAAAGATCCAGTGACGCCCCGTGAGTTTTGTTAGGGAGGATTGTACAGCACCCCTCCATCACCACCCCCACCCAAACCCAAATCCCCAGTAAGTCAGGAAGATGTATGTCTTTTAAAACATTGGGAGGTCTGCTTTGGATCACCCTGGAGCTGTGGCTTCCCTGAGCAGCTGAGAGTGAAGGGAAGCTGTTCCTCTGCCCAGAGCTCCCCCCCACCCCCGCTCAGCGCGCGTGTCCCACACAGGGGCTGCCTTCACGCGGCTTTGGCGGCCGTTGACTTTTAAATCATAAAAAGCCGCTCTGTATACAGTTTACTCTGTTGCTAGAAGGCGGCGGAACATAGGTATTAAAAAAAAACAGAAAGAGAGAGAGAGAGAGAGCAGAAGAAGCAGCCGTTAATCCCGCCAGGCTTCTGGGCACCGGAGCAGTTACGGATGACAAAAGTTAATTAGAAACATGAGCAGTTTAACCGAAAACACTTGTGACAATTGGAAGGACAGCTTCTCTGGTAGGAGAATTTTTTACAGGGAGTTGTTTCAGGAGAAAGTGGCTGCTGCTAGGTAAGTCATGTCATAGTGACTTTGCAAACGGGGATGCACGCTTTGGGGGCTGAGGTGCTGCCTCCCGCCTGTCGCGCGCAGTCTGGGGCGTAGGGCGCGGGCAGGCACTGGGCTGGCTGTGACCTGCCTTCCCGCCACTTGAGCTCTGACAGCTGCCTTTGCGTAGCAGATGGAGGCGCTTCATGGTTCGGCGTGCTTCCTGACAAGGGTGCTACAGCGTTCATGTCCGTGCTGTGGGCTGCCTTGGTGGGGAGCAGAACTCCAGTTCGGAACCCGCCCTTCCCAGAATAATTCCAGTTCTAGTTTGGAAATATGTTGAGGCTTTTCTGAGAAAAAGAGTCTGGCTGGGGAAATACTCCCTGAGCGCCAAGGGGAAAGCCTTGACTTTCAGATAACCTGCATGTTTTCTTGCCTACAGTGAAGCTATGTGCACAGTTTATACTGAAATGTCTTTCTTATTTTAAGTCTAGTCTGCATCATGTTTGTAACTCTTTAAAAGTGCCAAAATAGGAGAAAACAGATCTTTGATAGGACTTAGCAATTTCTGTGGGGTAATTACTCTTTTGTAAAGATTATACTTGGTTTCCCTGCTTTTCTGATTTGGGTTTTTTTTTTTTATTGTTTTTGTTTTGTTTTGTTTTTTTGCCTGTTCTGTTTTAATGTCTCTGCTACATTGTTATGTTAAAGTTGGATAGTGCTCGGTTGTTTCCCATAACTGGGAAACAGTGTTGTGGACTGAGTAATTCAAAGCAGTAGATATTTCCTATGTCTTTCCTGTACCACCACCGTGGTGATGCAGGTTTTAGTTTGTTTCTTTCTCCATAAATGTAAGTGCTTAATTGTGCTTTGTGCACATTTGACGCTAACGTCAGTGTGCCTTTGCACAGCATAAGCCAAAATGTGAAGTATGTGTGATGGAGAGCAGGAGGAAGTGAAGGTAAGATTTAACTGCAGGTAGTGTGTAAAGCATGTGGTAGAGCTGGAAGGTGTTTAGGTTTGGAGCGGTTGTCTAAGTACCCAGGGCCGACCCTCCCTCGTCCTCAGCGTGAGTCCGCAGGTGTAATTCAGGTGTCCTTCTCTTCCCCATCTCTGCAGAGCCATTGGCAAGCCCGGCCTCCTCCCACCCCGGTATGAGCGAAAATGCACCTGCTTCTGTGGAGAGTGGCGGCAGCTCCGCCCTTGCTAACTGCAGTGTCTCCTCGGCCATCCCCCAGCCCGCCGCTGCCACCAAGCCCTGGCGCAGCAAGTCCATCAGCGTGAAGCACAGCGCCACATCCTCCATGCTCTCGGTCAAGCAGCCAGTGTCCGAGGCCCCCAGGCCCAGCCCCGAAGCCTTGAAGCCAACGCCCAACAATCAGAAGTCCATGCTGGAAAAACTAAAACTTTTCAACAGCAAAGCGGGTTCCAAGGCCGGTGAGGGCCCGGGGTCGCGGGACACGAGCTGTGAGCGGCTGGAGATTCTGTCCAGCGTTGAAGAGGGAGAAGAGATGGAGACCACCGGTCGCATGCCCTCCATGGCGGGCCCCGCTTCCAGCAGCCCCAAGATCGCACTCAAGGGCATCGCCCAGAGAACCTTCAGCAGGGCGCTGACCACCAAGAAGAGTTCCCCTAAAGGCAACGAGAAGGAAAAGGAGAAACAACAGCGGGAAAAGGAAAAAGAGAAAAGCAAGGACCTCGCCAAGAGAGCGTCCGTGACAGAGAGGCCAGACCTCAAAGAGGGGCCCAAAGAAGACCCCAGCGGGGCAGCGGTGACCGAGATGCCAAAAAAGTCCTCCAAGATCGCCAGCTTCATCCCCAAAGGAGGCAAGCTCAGCAGTGCCAAGAAGGAGGCGCCAGCCCCTTCCCTCAGTGGAATACCAAAACCAGGGATGAAGAGCATGCCCGGGAAATCCCCAAGTGCCCCTGCCCCTTCCAAGGAAGGGGAGCGGAGCCGGGGTGGGAAGCCGAGCTCGGGGCTCCCCCAGCAGAAGCCCCAGCTGGACGGCAGACACTCCAGTTCCTCCTCCAGCCTGGCGTCCTCGGAAGGAAAAGGCCCAGGTGGGACCACCCTGAACCACAGCATCAGCAGCCAGACGGTCAGTGGGTCTGTCGGGACCACCCAGACCACAGGAAGCAATACCGTCAGTGTTCAGCTACCTCAGCCCCAGCAGCAATACAACCACCCCAACACTGCCACGGTCGCGCCTTTCCTGTACAGGTAGGAGCAGCCCCCCACCTGCTTCCTGGGTCCTTGGACAAAGGAGCCTATCTGGTGGCTTGCGGGTAATGGAGGGCAGGAATCAGGACTGCCAAGCTCCTAATAGGGGTATACACAGTGTGCCTGAGGGAACAGTGAATACAGTAGAGCTTGGTGGAGGGTGCAAGAGGGTTAAAGGGAAGAGTTCAACGTTGAGCGGACCCCGGACGGTAGGCATGCACCAGGCCTGTGGGGATGCAGGGGGATTTCAGAAGCAGCAGCAGCGTGAGCAGCTACGTGAGAAGTGGTTTGGTGTCACCCGACAGGCTCCAACATCCGTCCTGGAATATCCTGAATGTATGTTAAAAAGTGTAAAACACAGTAACTGAGACTTCTTCTCACAGAGGCGTTTGCCTTGAACTTCCAGATCCTCTCAGTTTCTTGCCACAGCGCACACACACTAAGTAAGTTTCCAGTCCCTACTGTGTGCTGGGATGTTAGAGGAGAGAACAGGGTGAGGGAGAAGGGGAGTGTGAGGGGGGAGTTCTAGAAGAACAAAAGAACCCAGGTGGTATTGAGGAGGCAAGCCTGGGTGTTTGTATCAGACTGTCCTTCTGTCTGTTATCTGTCCCTCCGTCTCTTATTTCTGACAGTAACGCATCCATAGGAACATATGTGGAACCAGGTGCTGCTTGCTCTGTGTGGGTGTGGCCTCATGGGATTGTCCGGCAGCTCCGCCCACACCACACACCTTAGCAGAATGCAGGCCCAGGCTCCAGGTGCCAATGGATACACGTGGAGGAGCTCTCTCCAGGCTGATGGAAGCTCCCCTAGCGCTGATCTTAAGGAAGTCTCAGAGCTTTGCTCACAGCAGTCACCTTGATCCTGTGCTTCGGACATGTAGTGTCTTTGACCACACTGCACATTTGAATGATAACTAATACCTCTGCATAGCAAAAGGGGACTAAAGATTGAATGATGGAATGTCACATTGTAGGCACTCATCTTACAGCTTCTACCCTAAGTACATACACGTACACAACTGTACACATACTCATACACTCAGAGGTGTGGGCGTATGTTGACAGTCAGATGTAAGTGTGAGCGCACGTACACATTTGTATATAAAATGCAAATGCACATATGCACATGTGTATTTACATAGCTGTTCATATGCATAGACTTGTGCCTATTACCCTCTCTCCCTGCCTGAGCTGTGTTGTAAGAGATCGTTACCATTCCCGCCAATAGTTGATGGCAAGGCTATCTTGGGTGATTTCAGAGTAAAGCCAGCCAAGGCCCAGCCAGTGAGGGAACGTCAAGCCTTGCCTCGCCCCCTTCCCTTTTCCTCGGCTCACCCTCCCCGTGGGTGAGGGTCACGCCAGAACTTTCTAACTGGGAGCCAGTCACCTTCTTACTAAGTCACATCATCGGCTCAGCTCACAGTGCTGAGAAGAGTGCCAGGGCTCAGGCAATGACTCAGCACTCATCTGCACGCACAGCTTGTGACACACTAGTTCTCTGAACCATGGAGGCAACGGGATCGCGCCCCGTGCAATGTTTATCGTTCCAATAGCACTCACAGTCTTGAGGTAATGCATATTCAAGCAGCTGTTTACAGATTCTTGATTTGCATTTTCAAAATTAAAATGCATACAGTCTTGGATCACCATCCATCCCAGCTCCCCCCACCCCCTTTTTGGGGCTGTAATCTTTTAAAAGATTATAAAATATCTAACCTTTTAAAAAAATTTTCAAGCTGTCTTTTATGAGAGGAAAAATTCTTTATGATAAAGAGCAAGTGTCTGATAAGTAGGAGAAGAAGAAAATGCCCTGTGTATCTACAAAGCCCCACGTCAAGCTTACCCTGTGCGGTGCCCCTCTGCCCCTCGAGTTGCCTTTGCTCTCCAGGTGAGCCTGGGATGAGGCCAGGAAGAAGAGCGCTAAGATAAAGTCAGGCCTCCCGGACTCTGTCCTTGATGCAACACCCTGTGTGGCCTTGGGACACCTTTAGTGTGACACCACTATTGAGTGTGCACCAAGTGTGTGCTGAGGCCGCGCTAAGAGCTTTTCATGCCTCTGCTCATTTCCTTATTCCCACATATCTCTGAGCTGCCTACCATTTTGGAAATCCCCACTCTATTGCCCAGCAAAGCGGAGACTTAGATTAATTAAGTAACTTGATCTGAGTCGCAGAGCTCACAGCCAGAAGAGCTAGCATTTAACCTCAAGGCTGGGTAAGGAAAGAGAACGTTGTTAACCACCACACCGTCTTGGCTGTGCAAATCACAGCGTCACCCTGAACCTGATAGTCTCCATCTCTAAAGTGAGGGGACAGGACTAGATCACAGAAGTTGTTACAATGGTGTCGCCTTCCTTTGTGCTCTAAAACTCTCAAGTTCACGGCTTATTGTGTACAAACTGCCCTGCTCTCCCCACAACTTCTCCATGTTAGTGATTTAACCAAGGGGTAAAAGGAAGATCATCCATTTCAAAGATCACGCAGAGTGAATTACACTTACCAATTTAGAAGCAACAGTGTCACTGGTTCTGTGTCATACCACATGTGATTTTTGTAGCAGCCAGGAGAGGATGCTGCTATTCCCTCTTGTACAGATGAGGGCCCTGCGGCTCAGAGGTGAGGGGACTTCCTCAGAGGTGCATGACTATCGAGTTACGGACTTCCCTCTTCTGCCCAGCATTCTTCTAGACTTCAGATGTCCTCATCTAGCCATTCAACACCTGTATCCTGCCTTGACTGACCCCTTAGCGTATCAGCTTAAACCGATCCTGTTCTCATGTATACGTATCAAAAGACCTGTCTTTGCCTTCGGAGCTCTCAGTCTAGTTGAGGAAAGATTTGTTAATTATATCACATTGTCATGCACAGCCCTCGGGAGAATTAAGAGGGTGGGTGGAGTGATCAGCTGGCAGGGTCAGGGAAGGCTTACGGGTCAAGAGGACATGGGAACTGCATCTTAAAGGCAGGCGAGGGGCAAAGAAGGAAGGAAGAGGGGCAGGGCCCTTGGCAGGAGTCACAATAACTGCGAAGACAGGATTACTAAGGGTGTGGTATAATCTGGGGATGGAGAGCAGCCACAGGTGGGTGGAGCTGAGGGCAGGTCTGTGTGTCCAGGGCAGGAGTGACAGGAGAAGAGGCTGGAAATGAAGGACGACTTGTGTGACATAGGGCATCTTCTGCCACCGTAAGGAATGTAGAACTTATTCTGTGGGAAATGGGAAACCATTGGAGGCCCTTAATCAGAGGATGATGTGATCATGTCGGTAACACAAAGATCCATGGAGGATGCTGTGAGGGGCGGACCAGACCTAGGAACAGCCCAGAACAAGGATCATAAGTTCAGATGCCTGAGTGGGCCCCAAAAAGTAGTATAAATGGGCATCCTGGGATGAGCAGGACTGTGGCAGAGGGTGCTTCCTGCCTCCAGGGGGAGTAGCCACCACTTGGCACCAGCAGATGGAGCTCAGTCTTTCCAGACATTTTTTTTTTTTTTTTACTGGGGAAGGCAGAAATTGCTGAAGGTGATTCCTCGTGAGATCTCCCAATTTTTAAATGTTGCAACTAATTCAAAAGCGTTAAAATATTATGCATACCAATCAAAATAAATCTGTGGGCTGGTTTCCTCCCCCCGACCCCCACCCCTCCGACCCCACCCAGCTGGAGGCAGCAGACCTGTTTACGGAGCAGTCGTAGGGCCTGGGCAGAGATGAAGGGAGCTTGGACTCTGGCCAGGAGATGGAGAGGACCCCTGGGACTATGAAAGTCCTTTAAAGACAGAGATGACCAGAAACAGGATCTGATGGCTTGGGGCCAAAGGGAGGAAGAGTAGATGGATGACTTAAGGTTTATCAGCACATCCCCCACATTTAAGACAGTTCCCATTCTTGGCAAATGCTCTCTTCATAGAGAGTGAAATCTGGTTGAATTAGCTTAAGGACGCTCATGAATTAATAATGTTACTCGCAGAGCTGTGCATCTGAGCGTAGTTAGGCATTCGCATGCCATGCCTAAATGAACAGAGGTAGTTGTGGCAAGAACACATCGCATGAAGCAGTCGCCTCAATTTGCTTGACAAATAAGGGCATGGAGAAGCTTTGGGGAAGTACACCCTTCAGTCAGGTGTTGAAATAATGATCAATGAGACCTTTCATGTCAGAAGATCGGCGCTCTGAATCAGAGACCTGGAGGGCAAACACACCTGCTTGGCATGCAGTCCTGACTGGGTTTGCAGTCACCTTTTCAGAGAAGCCCTGCCAACGGGGTTCAGGGGAGGGGAATGGGGGCTGCCAATGGAGTCGTCTTATGCTTGACTTGCTGATGTTGCCGGTTACTTAGAAGGTGCTGCAAGAACTTCATAAGCTAAATGATTCAAACTACTCAGTACTCCCCAGCCCTTTGCTGGCCAGACTGAGCGCCCTGGTGGGGAGTCAGAGGAGCGTTCCCCAGTGACGGATGGCAGCCCCTCCGATTGGGTGATGAATATTTCATCTTTTACAGTTTGGTGGCTCTCTCTGTGTCTAGGACGTTACTCCACACGCGCTAATGAATTATTTAGTGTCAGTCTGCTGGTCTGCTCCGTTCTAAGGCGTCTTGCTGGAGGAGGTGATGGGGGTGCTATGGAAAGACCACCGTGGTCCAGATGTGGGTGTTACCGCTTGTGACAAGTGTCTCTGCTGTGGTTTGTGTGTGAAGGTCCCAGACAGACACCGAAGGGAATGTTACTGCCGAGTCCAGCTCCGCGGGCGTGAGCATGGAGCCCAGCCACTACTCCAAGAGTGGACAGCCTGCTCTGGAAGAGCTCACTGGTGAGTAGGCCGCCCCAGAAATGCTGTGTCTGTTGGCGATGCTGTGTAACCACCTGCTGGAAGGGCAGGAACCCAGCATGACTGGAAGTTGGTTTACTGTGGCATTGATTGATAAGCTAATAAACAAATTTATTCTTATCATTTTCTCCCCTTTCTCCCTGTTCTCTCTCTCTGACAGTGTATTCTCTCCTCCCCCTGAATTGTAAATAAGCCTCTTACCTGTTGGCAAATCATCTTTTAAGATATGTTCCATTTCACTCATGCGGGGGCACTGAGCTGCTCTGACACTTAGCTTTGAATTACCTTGTTTACTCTTCAGATAAAGTCACTTTCCAACAAGAGTTGGAACTCACTGTGTTGACTTTTTTTTTCCTTTCCTGTAAGGAAGCATTGGTTGAACATTGTTCTTAGTATCCTCTATTAATTGGAAAGATTACAGCATGCTACTTTTACCAAAACCAAAAATAAATAAATTTTATTTCAGTATAGCCTAGACCATGATGATTAAAGGGGCATTATATAAAAATATAAAATCCACAGTTGTCATACCATTAATTCATTTCACAAATATTTACTTATTAATGCTACCCATTGTTCACTTAAAGGACAGACATCAGCATCTGAGTTAGAATTTCTACTGCAGTGCCTTCTAAGTTTCCACCTCTCAGTCTCTCTTGCCCACTCCCCAACTCTGTGCCCTGCATTCCAGCACCTAATCAGGGAAGTGAGTGGTACACTACACATTTAGCAGTGGCCGCGTTATTCTTCTATGTTACCCCTTCCAGAGTTGGGTTAGAAATTGAATCTGTGTTTAAAATTCGTTTACTAGACTCACCATCCGTGACCACATTATCTTCACAGCCACATTACAGGTATGGCATTGCTCTGCTGCCCACACGGTCGAATCTTACCCATCTGGCCATTGGCTCTAGAATGAATTTCAGAGGATCTGAGCGATTTAACTGTTTCCTTTAGGTTCTGCTGACTGGGTACTGTGATGGGGCAGAGAGTTCTCAAGCCAAGGGTAATGGATCTGTCTTACAGTAGTTCAGGGCTCAACATTTGGCATTGATTTTGCTCCCTTTTCTCCAGGATTTGTAGCTCCCTTGCATATGAGGGCATGGATAGCACAGGGAAAGAGCCAAGAGAAGGGCGTGGAGTTCAGCTGACTGTGCAGGTCTCCCCACGCATTCCAGATCGTGTTTGTATGTGCACACGTCAAAAGAGCGCGGCCAGTGCTTGCGAGCCTGGCATGTATCAGATGTGTGTCCCGTGGAGTAGTGTGGATTCACGTGAGGCATTGAGGCTCAGCAAAATTCACATTTGAGAAGCAGAGGCAGCAGCCAGAGAACATTCCACATAACCCTTGCATTTCAGAGTGACACACTGCAGCCTGTGATCTTTCCTCATTTCTCTTTTACTCCTCGTGTCTCCTGCACCAGGACTGTAAAACCAACCAGGAGCTCAGAAAGCCTGAGATGCTGTCCGTTGCTTTGGGGAACAGACTTGTGCAACCAATTGTGCCTAATGAAGCACTCTTCTGTGTTAAGTCAAACGGTGTTGGTTGCTAAGAAAAATATCTTAATCGGGGTGACTTGTCTCTACATTCAAGCAGTAGGACTCACATGTGTGACTGTATAGTGAATCATTTTATAGAGACTGTATAGTGCCATGGGGTTGGATTCAACTTATCCATAACTGATTCCTTGAAATAGCAACGAATAGGAGGTATATTTAGAAATGGGCATTTATGAGGCTATTTGATCAACTGCTTAGTTCTTCCTGTGCTTATGCAAATAGGCAGTTTTTCCATCATGCTTTGACATTCACATAGCATTACAGTTAAGACCTGCATCTTGGAATGTAGAGTTAGAAGGAACCACACACTCATTTGTTTCTTATTCAGCCTTTGAATCCCTTCTTCATTCGCTGATGAATCATCTTTCAGTCTCTGTTTGGGTATTTCTTGTGACAGAAAGATTATTCCTTCATAAGGCAGCCTTTCCATATTGTGTAGCTTTAATGGGTAACAGAGCTCTTTATTCTTACATTTCTAATCCCTGGATATAATCCAGCCTTCTGACGCTCACAGACAGTTTCGATCTTTTTCATGTAGCAGCTTGTCCCTTAAGCCTTCCTCTTCCAAGGAAAGATCCCAGGGTTCCCTCCATGTTCTTTTTATAACACCCTGACATCCTCTGAACTCGGCCCTATGGGGTCAGAATGTACAGTGCTTTCTCCGTCCTGGCCAGTGGCTTGAGGGAGGGCTGCCCTCGGCAAAGGTGAGAGCCACAGGTAGACATGGAATAGCTTAATTTTTATGATCCCTGTGTATGAGCTGAAAGGATCCTGCTATTTCCACTGGAGCATGGTTGTATTTTTATTTTGTTCAGGCTGAGAGGTGGTGGGAAAATCTTCCAAGGAGGCAGAACTGACAGTTCAGAATGTGGTCGCCTATGCAAGGGAGGTGGATTACTAGTTTGCATTTCTTTGTTGCTCTTGGAATCTGGGGGAAGCAAACATTTCCCATCAGGAACCACCCCCGCCCCCAAGAGGGAACTGGGACAGTCGAATTCAATGAGCCCTCGAGCACTCCATTTTTGCCAGGATCTTCTCGTCTGATCCTCCTCCTAATCCTGTCAGTGAAAGGACTTTATCCCCATTCCAAAGATGTCATTCAGAAGAGCAGGTGACTTACCCAAGGTCAGGAGGCTCATCTGCAGCTGTGCCACAATTCAAACCTCTGTCCGTCAGGATGTAAAATCAGTGCCCTTTCTTCAGCTCTACACTGACCAAGCATCTTTTGGACAATAAATATTACTTGAACATCTACAGATATGTGTGGGGGCTACCAAACGTAAAGGTGAGATGCCGTTCCATCTCAAAGATCTTTGAATTTCCAAAGGAGAGTTTAACACTGGCAACCATGTCATTAACAGGGACATGGATCAATAAAATAGTCATTATACTCTTTGCGTATGATTAAGCTAATTAATGAAGGTAATTAGCTTCATAATGAATGGTCACGGCAGGACCCAGAGCTGTCCAAAGGATCAGTACTTTTGTTGGCAGCCTTACATAGATGCAATGCGGCCAAGCTGGCAGCAAATTTATGTCACTGTGGCCCAGGAGATAGGTGCAAATGCATTCCTCCAAGGCCATTGGGGACGGGAGACGTCCACGCTGTTTTCATTCAAAAACACGTACCTACCTGTATGATTTTAAAGAATTGGGTGAGAAGTATACGTTTGACCACTTTTCAGATAAGAGAAAAGAATAAATGTCTTCCAAATTTCTCTTGGTTAAAAAAGAGGCAGAAAATTGAAAACACTTGCATTTGCAAGGTTGGAGCGTTTGCTATAGCAAATTTCCTTCGTAAAATCACATAGCTATCATTTAAGCCATTCCCCAGCCTCCAAGCATCACCATGCTGAGAACAGCCTAAGGAAGCTGCCATCTGTCCAGAAGGAGGGTTCACTCTATGACATTTCTTAGCTGCCTGTTGCCCTACTAATGACAATTGCTGGAAGTTCTACTTAGCGTCCGATGTAGATTCCACATACTGCTGCCCACGTGGACTATGTTCTGTATGGAGATTTCTTTTAAAATGTTGCTTCACACATGAATTGGTCATAGGCTTTTAGAGACCCTTGATTGTGGCTCTTCAGTCTTCTCAGCGCTCCCTGACATTACTCCGAGGGAAAGATAGATGTTCGATTCCTTTAATTGCAATTGTAGTCAGTCCCCTATTCCTCTTGCCCTTGGAAGCCCAAACAAAGCAGAGCAGCCAGAGAACCTGAAGCAAGGCTGCTTACCCTGAGAGAGCACATGACCTCCTGCCTTGCATGTGGTTGCCTCTCCTGGGAGTCTCGTGCCAGCTTGACCTCTACTGGACCACGTATTTTATGGAAAATCTTGCCCAGAGGATGGGAGTCCCTTGTCTCCCAGATGGAGCCCTGAGTCTTCCCGATGGCTCCCTGCTCTGCAGCACCAGCGGGCGTGAGTTCAGCACCCGTGGCAAGCGCCACGCTCAGGATCTCCAGCCCTACGCCACTTAGTCCCCACAGCTGCCCTTCGAGGTCAGGACCTTGCTTCAGGGCGGTGGCATCTGAAGGATGGAGAGCATCAGCACCTTCCCCATGATCACACAGCCAATGAGTAGAGGAGCCAAAATTTGAGATGACATAATAAAAAAAGGGCACACCTCTCTCTGTTGAGATATTTGTGATTAATAAGTGGAGATCTTTTAGCCACTCCTAGTTCCTTTTGCAGTGTAGGGCCAGTAGGCAGCAGTATGCATCACCAGCGGATGAGAAAACAAAACGCTTCACTCACTTTTGCACAGACAGAAAATGATTCCTGGGAATCAGAACTACCTTGTACATGTCTTTATTGGAATCAGTGGGACAATGTATTTATGTCTCAGACCAGGTTCTTCTGCAAGCTAGATTTCACTTACTTCAGAAGGGACCTAGTGGGGGAAGAAAGACTTCTGTCCCTGGATTTAATGCTTTCCTGTGGGCATGTCTGCATTCGTTCGTTCGTTCGTTCGTTCGTTCGTTCAGAAATTCCTTCTTGAGCACCCAACATGAGCCAGGCCCCTAGCATGCGACATGGTTAAATCATGAACACAGTTACTGCTCCTGTGAAGTTCATCGTCTGTCTGAGAATTAAAATGGTCTTAACCCTCGTCTTTCCAGGTGAAGACCCTGAGGCTCGGCGACTGCGGACGGTGAAGAACATTGCTGATCTGCGGCAGAATTTGGAGGAGACCATGTCCAGTTTACGGGGAACTCAGGTTACACACAGGTATTTGAAGCGTGAATTACTTTCCTGGACTAGCTAATAACTCAGTTTTCACACAGCTTCTCCTATGTTTGTTCATGCCACTAGCAAATGATTTGGTTAATAATGACATTAATAACCTTCACTGCCAAATGTGCGAGAATTGACAAAGAAAGCCATACAGCGTGTAGAAGAGAAGTGTGAGGAGCAAGAATTAGTATAGACAGATTCCTCCCCAAAGCAGGAATCTGCTAAATCCATTCAACAGGATATTTTAAACTAGCTCTGTTTAAATTGCACTTCATGTGCATTTTTCCAAAACTCTACTGTTCTGTTGAAACGAGCAGGTGAACTGTATTTGACCCGTGTGATAAAGTGAATAATTTGAATTCCTACCCAGTCTTCTGATACACAGCACTCTGTGATGTTATTAGCCATGCATGTCTATAAAACACGTAAGGAAATATTTATAAAAATGTATGATCATGTTTAAACAATGATTTAGTTATACAAAATCTAGCATTACCTTGGAAACATTTATCAGGTTGTTTTCATTGCTGAGCAAGAAGTTGAAAAGGTTGCAACCCTAGGACATTCTTCGTGATTTTGGCAGAGTTGATATTTACAGCTTGTGTTTGGCTTTGGTACCCAAAGCCACGTCCTTGGTACCCACATGACCTCCCAGAGCCTCCTTTGCTTCTCCAGTTTCAGTCTCTTTGATAAATGAATAAACAAGGAGACCACGGAGCTCCCCCACTGCTGACGCTATTGGCAGATTGGGGTTGAGCACCGTGGGTTCCATCTTACACGAGACCAGGGCCCAAACATTAGGGGTCCCCAATATGAAGAAGGTAAGGCTGCTTCCAGGATTGCAGGGAATCAAAAAGAGTTGAGGCACCAAACAACTTGGTTCTTCCAGAGGAGAGAGCGCTTGCCTGTGGTCTGGGGACCCTTAACCCTTTAGCTGTGTGACGGCATGCAGCCAGATATGGACCTCATGATTAGGAATGGGACATCCCTGTTTCCACCATAATCCCCAAAACGGACTGCCCGTGGGTCACAACAGGATGGGGCATGTCTGGGCTTGGACTAGGGGGACGATGATGGCGATGACAGGAGGGACAGCTTCAGCGGTTTCTCCTGCAGGAAAGACTTCGCTCTCTGTGCGCAGTTAGACGCTCTACTGCAGCTCTGAGGAGGTAAACTGATTGTCTTGGCTGTGTTGGGGCCGGAAGGACAGTGGGCTGCCAAAGGGCCTCCCCAATGGCCAGGGACCAACTCAGTCTCCTGGCAGATGTGGGCCCATGTGATCGCAAGCCCAGGCATGCACCGCTCTTTTCCCAGCCTTTTGCTCCAAAGTTTAGTTGTCATTTTGGACCAAATGTGGGAGAAGCAAAAGTGTGAGGGAGACAGACTTTCAAGAGTTAGAAAATCGAGGCTCTCCCCACCTGCCGGTCAGGAGGGAGCTGAGGACCTGAGATACGATATTAGCAACGTCCCTGGGGACAGGGGCACCCTGCCTCTGCCAAGGAGAGCTGCGACCCAGCCTCCCGGATGAACAGGTCTGTGGGTACCTTTATGCTCACTGTTACCTGTTCGGCATTTTCTATTTCCCTCCCTGGGTTAGAAAGATTATAGTTGTTAAGATAATTTCATCAAAATGATGGCAGCGAGTACCTTCTTCCATGGGCTTTCCAGAACATTATGTGGGTGTGCGTCTTCCTCTTTCCAATTTTACCAGAGGGTGGTACATCGATGCCTGTCATTTGATCCTGTTTTTGTATATGGGAAATAATTCATAATTTAAAAAAATTAAAGAACATACAAACTGCAAAGGACTCTAGGCACATTAGGGTCTAACCCAAGGTGGCTTTCCTGTTTTTAGCACACTAGAAACCACATTTGACACCAATGTCACCACGGAGATCAGCGGACGCAGTATCCTCAGCTTGACGGGCAGGCCCACACCTCTTTCCTGGAGACTCGGCCAGTCCAGCCCCCGGCTCCAAGCAGGGGACGCCCCCTCTATGGGCAACGGGTACCCGCCGCGAGCCAACGCCAGCCGGTTCATCAACACCGAGTCGGGCCGCTACGTGTACTCTGCCCCGCTGAGGAGGCAGCTGGCCTCCAGGGGCAGCAGTGTCTGCCACGTGGACGTGTCAGACAAGGCAGGAGATGAGATGGACTTGGAAGGCATCAGCATGGATGCGCCCGGCTACATGAGCGATGGGGATGTCCTGAGCAAGAACATTCGGGCGGACGACATCACAAGCGGGTGAGTCCTCAGAGTTTGTTTCCTTTCACAGAGCTGGAGAAGCCTTGGCACCTGGTTGGGCATTTTTTGGCTGGTTGTTTTTTTGGCTTCTTTTTTTGGGGGGCCACGTCTTCAGTTCCGTTCTCTGGAGCAGATCAGACTGCCTCCTTCACTTTCTGCTGTGTACATCAAAGTCCAAGGCTATGTGGCGTGGTGGCAGTCACTCTCTGGGTGGTCCTAGCAAGGCTCCCACTGCGTCTGGAGTGGCACTTGACAACAAACCATATAGCGTCAGCTCTTTAAATCAAACCTGGCACTCGGGGTGGAATCCAGACCCCTTAGCATGGCCTGTCTGGTCCTACGGGATCCGGCTCTTACCTGACTCTTAGGTCTCCTGGTTCTCCCCCACCCCACCTGCCTTGGCTCCCCTGCTGTAGCTGCTGCTTCGGTTCTTCAGTGTCACCAAGCTCTTTCCTAACTCAGGGCCTTTGCACCATCTCTTTCTCTGCCTGGATTTTATTCTCCAGATCTTTGCGTGGCTGGTTCCTTCTCTCTGCTCCGCTGGCACCGCTTGGGAGGGGCCCACCTTGACCATTCAACTTGAAGTAGTTTATGGGGCCTTGCCCCGCACCCTGTCCTCGCCATCACCCTGTGTTATGTTCCTTTGAAAACCTATCACTATTTGAAATTATCCTGATTATTTGTTTATATTTTATAGTCTCTCTGTCCCCTCCCGTTTTCAATAATAAGCTCCATGAAGCAAGGACATTTTCTGGCTTGTTCATTGCTGAATCCCCAGTGCATTGCACACATAGGAGCTTATGAATATTGCTGAATGAATGAACACATGGATCCATGGGTGAAGGGACAAACCCAGCCTTCCTGGGATGCGATGCTGTGCAAGCCATGCTGAGGCGCTCCTCTTGTCAGCTCTACTCCCAGGTCCCTGTGTAAACTGAAGGCGCGTCTGTTTATTCCACTTGCCTGAGACTTGATCTGTTAACCTGGCTTGCGCAGAAGTTTTCCAAGATCTTTCCCTCCTCTAACATTCTGGGAGTCAAAATCGTAGGTAATAAAAACCAGGCATAAAACTCAGGCCATGCCCTGACTGGTGTGGCTCAGTAGATTGAGCACTGGCCTGAGAACCGTAAGGTTGCCAGTTCGATTCCCGGTAAGGACACGTGCCTGAGTTGTGCGCCAGGTCCCCAGTTGTGGGCATGCAAGAGGCAGCCGGTCAATGTTTCTCTTACATATTCATGTCTCTCTCTCTCTCTCTCTCTCTCTCTCTCTTCCTCCCTCCCTTCCCCCTCTCTAAAATAAATAAGTAAATAAATAATCTTTTAAAAAACCAACCAACCAACCAACCAACCACCTCAGGTCACTCATTTCCATGACCAATGATCAAGAACCTATGGGTGAGTCTGCATTTTCATCATTGAATAATAGCTAATTCTCCCACTACATACCAAGCTCCGTGCTTAGGTGCTTTATATCTATATATGTATATATAATGCATATTAAATATATATATGAGACCTTGCTCTGTACTCCCAGCAATCCTTTGAAGTAGGCGGTGTCATAATCCCCATTTTGTGCATGAGTAAACTGAGGCGCAGGAAGGCTAAATAACTTGCCCGCGGTGCTGCAGTGGTGGGGAGGCAGAGCCCAGGGCTCACGGCTCCAGAGCCCTGCTCCTTGACCGTTGAACCTCACTGTCTTGCCCAGTATCTTACTGATATATTGAAATAGCCCAGCTGCTGGAGTTTATTTCAAAATTCATTTACTTTTGCTTAGTTCTACTTGTCTGACTAGAAATGTTCTTTGACTTAATTCAAAGTTTAGACAGAGAGGTGCTTTGGCTTTCTACTTAGTACTTTTCGAACCACCCTATAGTGAAAAGGTGGAAGATAGGCGCCACCTCACCCTCACGATATAACACATCCCTGCCCTCCAGAATGACCGGGAAGGATAATGGGCCGATCAATTCAATGATCCAGTTAACTTAGCATCATTTCGTGTGTCTAGTTCTTTGTAAACATGAAAACGATAACACGCCCATTACTAAAATTAAGTTGCATGTAATTTAATCTTTTTATTATTAATTAGACAACTTTTGGTGTCCAACATGGCCTCCAGGTTATCCTTATCAAATCTCACAGTAATTTTGAGATTTTTTATCCTGTAACAGTAGTGTTTATTTCACTGCTGGATCTGTCTTTTAATCCTCAGTAGATGAAAGTCAGTGTTGGTTTTGATGTAGTATTGACAGTTTCCACAAGGTGGAGACATTGAAACACTCAAACCTGAACCTCAATGCTATTACAGCGAGACAGTCCTAGTTTCCTTGGCTGTTCCAACCCAAGGCTTTACTCCCGCTGAAAAGCACAAGTGTTTATATTTCAGTTCCTGCTTTGGGAAGTTTACATTTTTTAGCAAGTGAGATAGTTCTCAGAGCAAGTGTAGATAAAAGTGCAGACATGTAAGCACACCACCCAATTATTGAAACTAGAGAACTCTGGCCTGGTTTTTCTTCTTTCATTCCTTTTGATGCAGAAATTTACCTCCAAAATGAAGAGAGCGAGCCCAGATGGCATTTAATGCCCCTTCTAGTTGTAACATTCTGGAACGCTAGTTAAGCATGACTTCACTCTGTGGAAATGCTTGCGCATGTTTGCTTTGAGGCTAAGTTATCAGTTGGCTTTTACATGTTGAATCCAGGGCAAGCCATTTAATGTCTTTTGTACTCCTTTCTTTTTCCTTTTATAAACATGACAGGGTTGTAGGTATTGAAGGACTGGTCATTTAGTCTCTGCTCCGGAATCTGCTAAGTCAGTCATACTGCGGAGGCAACTGGTATAGCGGAAAGGAAACAGACTGAGATATCAGACAGATGGAACTTAAACCCTGATCTGCCACTTGTGAGTTCTGTGACCATAGGCATGTCATTTTACTTCCCTAAGCCTTGAAGCACAGTAATTAATGTGGTTTGTAACCTTCTACAATTAGATTTCTCTTTGAGGTTGTATCTGATGAATGGCAAATATCTGATAAAGACACAAAGTCTCAGACAGGGTCTATGTATCTTATCAACCTCAAACATCCAGGCACTTGGAAACAATGAGATGATTCAAGCTTTCATCCAGATGTTTGTTTGGCTTCGTGGGACAGCCTCGATGTATGAGTAATGCATAAATCTGTAAGGAGGCTCTTTGAGGAAAGTCCTTGTAAAAGTTTACAGCAAGTTTATTTAGAAAGCTTGGTATGGAAGTAAATTCTAGTTTCTGGAAACCTATGACCTTTGTTTTTAAAATGACACCATACCTCTGCTGGGTGTAGCGGCTAGTTTTTGTTGTCCGGAGTTCACCGTCTCCAGTGGATAGTGTGCACGCACGGCTGTGAGTATCACTCGGTGCTCCCGAAGGTGGGGCTGGCATTAGTAAGAGCCTGATGCCAAGTGCCTTTGGTCTGTGTGTGTGTGTGTGTGTGTGTGTGTGTGTGTGTGTGTGTGTGTGTGTGTGAATTAACTCTTAGTGTGCGCCAGGCATGTCTACAGACTTTACAAGTTGTCGCCTGACCTCACCACTTCCTTTTATTAGATCGGTAAATTGGGCTTTGGCTGTAGTTAGTGGGGAAGCATTTAAAGTAACAGATGAAGATGTCTCTTACCAGGTTTTGATCTGTGAAGTCAACCCATCTACTCATCTTCTAAAAATTCAGAGTGCCATGTGGTACGGAATAAAATTAAGTGGACAGACTTAGCATCCTTATGTTTGGAAAGAAGACTGCTTTTCTTTTCGAAGGAGGCACTGAGCTGTATAATCTTCTAAAGTAGGGATATACATTCCTTCCCAGAAAGAAATTGGCCATTTAAATTAAACATCAGAAATTTTTCTGACAGCCTTTGATGGCTTTGCATTGCCTGTGGGAACAGATCTTAGTTTCTTTACTGCACGTGGGAGGCTCTTTCTGGCCCTTCCCCTCAGCCGCCCTCTCTGCCTTAGCCCTGGCCACGTCCCTCCTCCCCTGCCCAGGTTCCCCACTGTTCTAGGCTACCTGCCATTTGTTACAAAGGCTGTTGCCTGCAAAGCTCTGAGCCACTTTCTTCCTGGAATCCCTTTCCCATCAAGCCCATCTAACCAACCCTAAAATAAACACCACCTCTTTGATGCCCTCTTGGACTTCCCCGGTCAGAGTTAGCTCTGTCTTATGTGTCTCTGGTGACTGTGGTTTACACCCAACCGTGTGAGCCTTTCGCTTTGCCTGGGAACCTGGTTGAGAGGGGCTGGATGGTGTGGAGGAAAGAGTATTATAAGAGGCACACAGATTTGGGATGTAGTCCTGGCTCTGCCAAATGAACTGGAACAAATTCTCAACCTTTGGGAATTAAGAGATAGGACTTGAAAAGCACCTGGCAGAGTCTGGGATGCTCAAGAAATGTGTGTTATTCCTGCTCCAAACGTGGCACTCCCAGAAGGCAGACAGAGCCTGTTATTTTTCTAAACTCAGAAACAAGTACAAATAGGCATTTAATAAATATTTTGTGAATGGCCTATTCTGCAGTCCTACCCTCACAGGACCTTGGGCTTGTATAACTTGCCACCACCAGCTGTGAAACTCAACGATTGTATTTACAGAGCCCTTGGGGGAAAGCAACTTCACCTCAGGTGTCTTTTTGCTGTGATACCTAGCTCCATCTAGTGGCCAGTATAGGATGTGATGCTGTGGTTCTGAGTGCTTCTAACTCCGAAGAGTCATTGCGTTGGTCTAAGACTGAGGGCAGAGGAAGTGGACATTGTAACAGCTGGCTTATCTTTTGAATATAGCCTGACGAGTAGTCTAGCGTGGGAGAGAAAGCGGGGTTTTGAACAGGTGATCTGCAGTGTTGACATTTTAATAGCAGAAGTTGTCCCTGTTAGGGGGCAAGGATTCCTCCGTCACCAGGTACAGTGTGTGCACTGGTGCCTGCTGGGAGACTCGGTTCCTTAGAGGTGAGGAATCCATCCTTGCTGAAGTGCCTGTAG